GTAATCCGTCCAACTACAAGCATTCTCCTTCTTTGGAAGTAAAATAATAGACGTAGCAGCAAATCCCCTCGGCAAATGACCACCCTCAAAGAAATCAATGACTGCACTGTATACATCAACCTATATAATATCCTAACAGTGTTGGTAGAACAACGAAGAAAATCCATCAAGGCCCGCAGCACTATCAGCATCAATACCGAAAACAGTCTCTAGCACCTCATTAATCAAAAGGAGCCGGTTCAACGTCATATTGTCTGCCTCCATCAGTATCCTAGGCATGATATTAGGAAGAATATACTCCAGAGGTTGTGAAGAAGCTGATAATAAGTCCTGGAAAAAATAAATTGCTGGACAGAGTGGTGATTGGACCAGATGATCCACAAATGGAGCTCAAAATAGGTCACGAACTCCGAGCACCCATCCGAGGTCTGATAGTAGAATTCCTCCAACAGAATCTTGATGTTTTTGCTTGGAATCGCACGAATATGAAAGGGTTCGACCCCGAAGTCACTTCCCATAAGTTGGGTATCGAACCTCTGGTGTGACTTAGGCGGCAACTATGGCAGCCTTTAAATCTAGAGAGGATAAAGCTCTAAATAAAGAGGTGCAAAAGTTGCTTCACAATGTGTTCATCTGTGAAGAAAAATATCCTACATGGGTTTCTAATCCAGTTCTCGTGAAGAAAAATAATGGAGATTGGAGAATGTGCATAGATTTCAATGACCTCAACAGAGCATGTCCTAAGGATAACTTTCCTCTATCAAGGATCGACCAGATGGTTGATGCAACGATAGGACATAAGTTACTCAGCTTTATGGATGCATACTCAGGGTATAATGAAATCTCTATGTATGAGCCGGACTATGCACATACCGCCTTCATTACTGATCGAGGTCTTTATTGTTATAAAATGATGCCTTTTGGCCTCAAAAATATCGGGGCCATTTATCAGCATCCAATCAATTCTATGTTTACCAAGAAATTGGCAAAACCATGGAAGTGTATGTTGATGATATGCTAGTTAAAAGTGCGGATACCAGAGATGATCAATGACACTTAGCTGAAATGTTTGAAATCTTGAGAAAGTATAAGATGAAACTGAATACGCACAAATGTACCTTCGGTGTGAACTCCGAAAAGTTCCTAGGTTATTTCGTCAATTGTCGAGGAATCAAGGCAAATTATAAAAAAATACAAGCCATCATTGAAA